CCCCCCCCCCGCTGCCACGGCTCTTTGAGGAGGACGCCGCGTGTCTCGCGACCCCTTGGCCAGTGACATGCCACAGGCCTCGCCGGCAGGGCGCCTGGGCGCGGCCCTATGCCTGCTGCTTTCGGCATGCCTTTTGGCGATTGCCCACGCGGCCTCGAACGAGCCCACCGAATATGGCATCCCCCAGTCGAGGCTGACTCAGTTGGCTTTGGCCGATGCCGAGAAGGACGCCAAGCCGGAATCCGGCCTGCCACGTACGCACTCCAGCCTCGCCGCCCCTACACACCGGCACCCCGGGCACACGCTCCAGCGGCGACACTGACCCCATGCCCGCCCGAGGCCAGTCCCCTTCGCATTGCTGGCGCTGCACGCGCGCCATCTGGACCGGCAGAGAAGCTGGGCCAGCCACGCGCGCCATGCCCGTGACGATGACGACGACGAGGAAGAAGAGGAGGAGGACGACGAGGAAGAGGAAGAAGAGGACAAGGACTTCCCCCTGGAGCGCTTCGTCGACCCGACCAAGCCCGCGGGCTTTGCGGTCTTGACACGCACATCGGCCTGCCCGCATTGCAATGGGACGATCGAATTCTGGGACAATGGCGACGTGCGGATGCCCCTTCGCGACCTGCCGCTCGGCCCCGCGATACTAACCCTCCCTTGGATCCATGCTCGCCCCGGCGCAGCATGTGGCCGCAGCGATCGATGTTCGGATCACGGTCTTCCCGATTGGTGCGCGTCCCCCGCCGCTGGCAGAGCAGGGGGGCTTGTGTGTTTGTGTGTGTGTGTGGGGGGGGGGGGGGGGGACGCCGCACTGTTTCCCACGAGCATTGGCAGCCTGCTCGGCGCTGACACCCACACGCCCGGCTGCTGTCCCCTGACGCCTCGCCAGGGACCGAGCTATCGCTGCACCTGCACACCTACGGCGACCTGCGCGGGGTCTTCACCGGGGATGAGAATGTGGCCAACCCGCGCGCGCGGTCGGTCGGGCCCTTCTTCCGGACCATCCCGCTGCAGGGACCAGACAACATGGAAAATGAGCTGGCCATGTGCAATGGCACACTCGAGGAGCATGTCGGGGACTTTGTGCGTCGGTTGCCGGGCCATCCCCATCGAGCGGCGAAGGACTCGGTGAATCTAACTTGCCAGCTGTGTCTCCATGCCCCATGCCGCCTCAGGGCCACATCACCATTGACTCCACCGGTCGAGCCAAGACCGTCCTCAAGAGCCGGACAGCCAGGTACACGCCCGAGGCCCTGATCGAGCGAGCGAGCGAGCGAGGCCCGGTCCGAGGACCGAGGGGAGGCTTGAATCTCGTCAAAAAAAAACCCGCACACTGAGTCGCTAACGCAACAAGTCGCCCATGCTGCCTCGCCGGCCTCTCGTAGTCTGGACCCGAATAGCCCGAATTACATCATCGGCCGGAGCGTGGTCCTTTACGACCGCCGGGTCGACTGCCCGACCCGGCCGAACTTCATGACACAGCTGGGCCGCGACCGGTGGGAACGCCAGGGGCGTGAGAATGACCCGCTCGGCCCGGCGGCCGACTCGTCGTACGACGACGGCTCCGACGCCCTTGCCGCCGGCTGGCCCGAATATGCGGAGCTCCAGTCGCCGGCTTACTCGGACCCCGAGGTGGAGCGGGCCTTCTTCGAGGAGATGACCGTGCAGGAGGCAAGGTCATCCCGAGAGGCAGCACGCACGTATGCCGGGCGGCTGCGGGTCCCCCAGCGCGGCCCGGCTCGCGCGCATCCCGGCCGCATTGCCCTGGCCGGGGTCATCGGCCTGGAGAACAGCCCGACCGTCCATTCGGTTCCCGGGACGGTGGAAGTGGCAGACCCGCGTGCGTGCTTTCCTTTTTTTCGCGTCCCTTTTATCTCGCCCTCCTTGCCCCCCGGGCCCGGGCCTCGGAGCTTGCGCAAGCGCTTGCCCGCGGGCACCGGACCCGCCTGGCGGCAGGGTACCGAGGATGGCTGCTAACATGCACTCAACGCCTGCCCCCTGCCACAGCACCATTCAAGGTCCAGCACGCGGTGGCCGTCACGTCGTGGGACACCGCCAAGATCGCGCACATGGTCGAATCCATGAAGCCCCGGACCGAACCCGCTCCCAAGTACGAAAAGCGCTGGCCAAGTTTCTTCCTGGACAAGGAGCCCAGCCCGAATGGCATCGCCTACTTTGACATACTGCCCGGCAGCGAGGTGTCGCCCGAGGGCTCTGCCCGGGAGGAGGTGCGCGGGCGTGCCGGGGCCCTGCCAGCTTGGCCGCCGGCTGGGCTGAGCTGACCAAGGAGTCGGGTCATCTGGTTCTGGATGGATGGCTGGGTGCAGGGATGCAGGGATGCCTGGCTGGGCGTGGATCAGCGACTGCTCGACTGCCTGACTGACTGCCTGTCTGGATGGGCGCATGGCTGGCTGGCTGGCTGGCTGGCTGGCTGGCTGCAGTTCCTTCGCGTGCGCATGCACCACCGGAACCTCCGGCCCAAGAACCTGTACGCTGCCTCGGTGCATACCTTTGGCGACATCTACAGCGGCGGGGCCATCTTCGCCGGGGACATCTTCCTGCCGGCTTCCTTGGAGGGGACCCTGGCCCGCAAGCCCACCGGGGTGTCGTCTCACTCCGGCGAGTCGACCTCGCTGTTGCCGAATGCCCCGGTGTCGCCAACCACCTTTCCCTTCGAGGAGGGGGAGGCCATCCATGCCCCTGCTGCGGGGGTCCGACAACGGCGCCAGGAGAACCGCGAGGACCGGGAAGATCGCGAGGATCAAGAAGATCGCGAGGACGACGACGAAGAGCGTGAGATGCAGATTTGTCGCTTTGTAGGCCCATTCATCCGAAAGCCTGGCGATTTGGTGCGCATGTGGAAGAACCAATGCCCACAGGCTGGCGGGGGGAGGGGAGAGAGGTCCCCAGGGGCAGGACATTCATGTGGGCTGGCGGCCGACCATGACAGCACCCACAACCAGCATCTGACATTCTTTTTACGGCCATCCCCCACCTTCCCGCCCCCCCCCTATTCACACATACACACACACACACACACACACACACACACACTCACACACACACACAGGGACGAATGGTGTCATCTGCCACGGGAACCATCACTGCCAACCTCACACTCCCGACGACCCTTGGTGCTCCGGAGACGACGGGCATCGGTGGGCTTACGTGCGTTCTACGAACACACTTCTTTTGACGCCCCGCCTTGCCCGGCTCCGGCCTTCGGCCCCCCGCTGACCCTTGGTTATGGGCCTGGGCCAGCATTTTTGACCGAGGCGACCGGTCGATCCTCGGGCGGGCATACGGCCTGCGCTTGACTTTGAAGCCCCTGTCGCCGGATTGGTACTACTACTTCGACGAGGAGTATTACTACGATGAGGAGTACTATTTCCCTGAGGACGACGAGGAGGACAGCGAGGAGGACGGCTACGACTACGGGGCGATTGGCACGCGGCCTGCCGGCAGCGGCCCCGGCAAGCGGGCCCGGCGCTGGGCCCAGGCCGACGCCCATTCCGACAGCCACGAAGGGGAGAACCCCCTGCTGGACCGGTCGCAGGCCGAAGACTACGATTACCAGGGGGCCGAGGATGAGGGCGCTGCCGGGCCAGCCGGCAGCGAGGCCACGGTCTATCGCTACTCCGACCCGTGGATCAACCTGGCCGAGGCAGATGAGACCCATCCAAGCCAGGTCATCCCCCCGAAGTCGCCCTATGCCCGGTGGGAGTGGGCCCTGCCCAAGCGCAAGCCCCCGGTCATCGTGCCCTGCCCGCGGCCCTACCAACCGATGCGAGACCATGAGATGGTCGTCCACCTGGGGGTCATCGGCGTCCGGAACCCATGTACGTGTGTCAAAGCGGCTGCCGACGTCCGGCGTCCGGCGTCCGGCGTCCGGCGTCCGGCGCCTGGGACCATTGCCCTCCTCCGCTGCCCCGGCCACGGGGCCGAGACAGGCGGCTCGGGTGGGGTCAGGACAACTTTACCGGGGGGAGAAGTCTCACACGCACATTCCCGTCCCCCCCCCCCCTCGCCTCCCTCCCACCTCGACACAGACTGGCCGGAGCCGGTGCCGATCGGGGAACAGGATGAGGATGGCAATATCACCTATGAGGAGACCGACCTCGACCGGGGCACCGACCCCCCGGGCCGGCCCATGCCTGAAGGGGGCCCCAAATTGGGCACCAAGCCACGCGATACCAACGCCTCGGACCAGGACCAAGCTCTCCCGGAAAGGCGGCCCAACGGAGCATCAGGGTGGCTGCCGGCCGGTGTTACCCTCCTCGCGGCCATGCGGCTCGCCATGGCCACGGCAACCGCTCTCCTGATTTGGGCCTAGTTGACTTTTTTTTTCTGTTCCTCACACACTGGTGCCCTGCATGCAATCGACCGTGCACTCGTCGGCCCCCACAATCAGGGCCTCCCCGAACAATTGACCCTTGCTTGTTCTTCGAGCCAATGGTCGCCCGCGAGTTGGGGCCTCCTCGAAGGCAGGAAAAACTCGAGCCCCAGCGCCGGTCGGGAGAGAGAGAGAGAGAGAGAAAGATGGGGGAGGAGGAGGGAAGGAGGGACCTATTCGGGGAGTGTACACGAGACAAGGGGGAAGAGGTCGGGGGGCAGAACTGGGATCCGACCGACGCTCGCGCCAGGGAAAGGAAGGGGGAAGGGAAAAGCACAAGGAAAGAGGGGGGAGCGGGGCGTCTACTTGAAGAACCACCACACGGAGATGACGATGGTCATCGACAGGAGGATCGCCCCGCGGATGATCCACGTCGAGCGGATTGTCTGCGACTCGATGTTTCGCATGAGCCCGGACCCGGAAGCGATGGACGTCAAAGTGGTGAACAGCTTATTTTGGGACGCCTGTGCGTGCGCACGGCGGGGAGGCCGCCCAGGGCGGGGGGGGGGGGGGGGGGGGGGGG